GTTTGAATGAGCGCAGATATAAATTATAAAAGTAATTTTGTAAGTTACGTGCTTGCAGATCGAGACGTCATCCTCTTTGTTTACGAAGTACCATTCATATTTTGGCATTATATTAATGTTGGCGAAGTAAGTTGAATCACTCTCAAAACATTATTACAAAGTGCGATGGAATTATTACAAATTGCGACAGCTTAGTATATTTCAAAGTGCGATGGACAGTTATTACAAAATGCGACAGCTTTTTTATTACGAAGTGCGACACGGTTTATTACAAATTGCGACAGGTATTACAAAGTGCGATGATTATTACAAATTGCGACAGTACACACCGCTCCGTCTATGAGCGCTTTTGAAGTATAAGATATCAAAAAAGAAAAATACAATTTTAAGGTGTGTTGGTTATTAAGACTGGTTTTGTGGACTTAAATATATTCCAAATTTGACCGAAAATCGTTCTCAAAATAAACTGATCGGCGAGAAATCCGTGACACAATAAGTACATGAAAGTTAATTACTTGCTGAGAGTTTATGGACTCCCGCGGCCAACCAGCCATGAGTGAGTACAGTCTAATACCCCCGTCTCCCCCCCACTCCCTCCATAATCCAGGCCACTACTATACCTATCCACAGCACCAAACACCTTTCCAGCCAAAGCCCTGCAGTTAAAGACTCTTGTAAACGACCACCTCTCGTAAGCCCAACTGCGACCAATTTTTAGAGTGTAGGTTTTTAAATTTTTTATTGTTTTTCACCTTTTCTAAGCGACCACTCGACGCACGGTACGAAGATGAATTTTTAAATAAGGAACTTCAGATATCCTAACTTAACGATCGTGAACGAACGAACTAACTTGAAATTAGGTTCAATGATCCCCTTACAAAATGTTTAGCAAGCAGACTTCTTCCCAGACGAGACCCTCTGTCAGCTCGATTCTCATCTCGTACAAGCGACCACCTCGAGCAAGTGATCACTTAATGTTAGTATTTTGGGTGTATGAACTAATCACTTACCACCCTAAATTGCTACTCAAAAAGAGCCATCCCCACAAAACCAATCCAGCGTCACATCGTAAAACAAATTAGAAAACGATTCGTTCATCATACAAAAGTCAACATCTTCCTCATGTCAAGAATAATGTGGGACATAATTCTTGCATACTTAGAGAATTCACAACCTTCCGGCTGCCATAATGACTGTACAAGGCAAAGAAGAAAATCAAGATAGTTAAGCTCTCTGGCGCCGTGGACAGTTTTCGTGACCAAATCTAGAATCAATCCTGGGAAAGTAACCTGATTTGTTCTGTTTCAACATGGCAGAGTTACGCACCAAACTTTTCCACAAATGGTTCGGAATGTGTCTTCCACTCTTTATAATTCGCTTAAGGTCGGCATGAAAAATTGCAAAATATATTTTGATTGATCATTGGTTTGGTTCCATTTTTTCGTAGTATTCTGCCCCTCTGTATGGGACCAGTACACCTTTGATATTATTCGCGGTCTTTTCTTTGTTTAATTCGCAGATCCCTTGTTCCCTGTAGTAGTTGAAGGACTTGCAGTTTCGGTCACGTGTACAGTATAATGAACAGGCTACGTCGTTGTCAAGGGCAGTTGTAGACATCACGTGACCTACCAGACTTGCGTCCCTTTGGACAAGAAGAAATAACGCGATTTTTCTCTCTAAAAGAAAAAAACGATAAACGATCAGTCAACGGCATGAATAAAAATAAACTCAACACCCGGTATTTCAGACACACTTATTGCCCGGAATAGCAACAGTCCGACATAGCTTAATTTCTGGGTTGCAATTTTTGCAATTCAAATGTCCTAAACACTGAAAGAAAAGAACCGATTACACGTTTCAAGAGAAAAAAAGCCTCTGGTTAGCACATCAATGGAGCTAGCCTCCTTCGCAGGCTTATATAGGGGAGCTCGTTTTTCATCTCTCCCCGTACGAACTCCCCTAAAAACGCCTGTGTGGGAGACTACGCCAGTGGAGCAGGTGTGAGAAGAAATTTCCTCGAAGCATTAGTATTAGAGAGGTAACCAGTGCAAGTACATGTAAATAAACGAATGAAAAATAAAATAAAGAAATATATTTTAAAGCCCTGACTTAACTAATCTTCTAAAGCTCTTCACAAACCACATTCAGTCTAGAAATAATTTATAAAAGTTATAGCATTATTCTGCTTAAATAAGTGAGTCTCTCTTATAAACATCTTCATCAACTAAAATGGTAGTTCGTTCAAGTGGAAAAAGCTCTATCACTATACGTTTTCAATATTAACTTAGATATACTATATCTAACTGTGCCTGTGATCGTAAATCAGAGTAAACCAAATACAAAATACAGTAAACCAAATTTCGGCATGTAGTTTATGTAGACTTGGTCACCCCTCAAACCTCTCACGCTTCACGTTAGCGTTCGATCTACGCTCGTTCTTCTCAGTTTGCGCTGAAGCTAAACAGTTTGTAAGTTTTTAGCAGGCTCCTGGTCTATAATAGTGCCGACAACCCTTCTCCAACTGCCTGCCTTCTTACTCTCTTTAACTCAGTGAATTACCATCTACCCCCCAATACATGATCGTACCTGGTATCTCGCTGTACAAATCCGGATTTAAGATGGGTTGGTATTTGTTCCCATTCGGCTGACGCACCCCAACACCGAGGTGATCTGATGGGTTGGAGTCCGCTTTCATGATGGCTTCCATGAAGTAGAACTCACCACTGACCAAGTTTATCGGGGATGATACCTGTTCAGCTTTTCTAAGAAAGAGAACTCTATCTTACTGGTCGTTCATCACAGCATACCTTATTCCGGTATTATAAGAACCTAATGGCTGATCAGTGCAAGGTGGCGTGAAATACAGACGGTTTTACGAAAATGCAAAGTTAAAATCTGACTACAATCATTATGCGAAAAGTATTTTTTTAAAAGTTTTATTAAACTTTCGTTAATAAGGTGTTTTCCCGTACATTAATTCGACTTTCATATTTGTTACTATCCAATTCCAGACGTATGGGTGAAATCAAGTTTTGAAAAGAATTATAAGAAACTTTATGGACTTTTATAAAGTCCAGCTCGAGTCAGTATGTTGTACCTTTAAAGCTTTTTACTAGGAAGTTCCAAATGTATTGTCGAGTCGGGAAAAGTTAAGACGGAATCCACTAGGAAATTGAGAAATTTTAATTCTCGGTGGACAAAAACCTTGTACCTTTCAAGGGCTAAAGATGTAATAAATCATCTGTAGTAACACCAAAGAAAATTTCTCGTGGAAGTCCGAGAAAATGAATGTCAAATTTCACAAGAATTGTGATTGCATACTAGGTAAATTTCTGAAAATTTCATGCGTAAGATGTAACTTTGTGAAAATTGACATTCATTTTCTAGGGTTTCCATAAGAACTTTTTTTTGGTGCTACTACAGATGATTTATTACATCGTAAGGCCTTAAAAAATGCAAAAAAGAACGCAATATATACTTTAAATTATTCTGTTGCAAGATTTTTGTCCACTGAAAACCAAAATTACTCAATCCTGGTGGATTCCGTCTTAATTAGCTCAGAATATCCTAGCCTGAGAAAACAGCCAACAAATCGTTAGGCCAACATTGGTTCCAAGAAATCCTTTAACTTACAACAAATTGCTTCGATCACCATCACGTACTAAGAGAAAAGTTGTCAGGGCAATGAGAGTCACATTCTCAACCGAGTCAGTTTAGCGAGCGTTTATATGAGAAAAAAAGTTGACACCTTTGCCCAAGACATCAGCGCCAATGCATGCTCGGATCGTCTCACGTACCTTCACCGAGTTGACCAGTTTGGGCGAGGCAAAGTGTTTAATGGAGGGAAGTTGGCCCTGCTAGAAGAGTGATCTTACCATAGCCCACGGAGCCTACGTTTTGTTTATCATGTGAACTGATGTATACAGTTTGCCAATTTTTGTAAGGATAGCTCCTGGACCGGTAGGCGAGTGACTCTTCTACCCGGGTTATAAGATATGCTGATACAGGAGCCCATTGGCTAATATCCAGGTACCCAGCTAGTTCTATTCGGTGAAAATGAAGAAATGATCATCGCAGTGAACACAATTTATGCAATTGCGTAAAGAAGCCTGAAGAAAATTCAGGACTTCACTGGCCATTCTGAGGTTACACTTCAGATTTGCCCTGTGCTTTGTAAAACAGAGTGGTCATGAGAATTACAGACATGATCACACAAGATGAAGTTACTTGATATTCTATCAACTTCTCCCCACCGCTTCTATAGGAAATGAGCAGGAGTAACAAATGAGAATTCAAATTTTAACTCTTAGTGTCCAAAGGGTTAAGACATGTTAAAAGGGAAAAGGCCTCACTTTCGGTTGTCGTGCGTATGCGTCGCTGAAAAAAGTGTTTTCTCAGGCTCCCCAATATTACTCGTATTACCTAGTAAAAAAAAGCGCTTGGCATCCCCATAAACAATCCCATTATGCAACTCGACACAACATTGACCCAGCCTCATTTGGCGAATAAAACAAGAGCATCAGGAAAGCTCACATCACTTACTTGTCCCATTGTTTCCAGGTTAGGTTAAGCCCAAAAGGAACAAAAATAATTCTTCTCTTGTTAAAATTTGTGTCATCTGTACTCAGCCACAGCTCACACTCGTCTTGACATGTCATGTAGAACACGAATAAACCTGTCTCTGGAGCCTTCCGAGAAAAAAAAAGGACTTCAGTAATTAGAATTTAGAGCCAACGAAGGTAAGAATGATGCTTTGACGTAAGACCTGTTTATTTCACCACCAACCCTCGCTTCTAGACAAAATTCTCTATACATTCGCCTGTTTGTTTGTTAGTTTTCTTTGGATATAAGACTACATATAAAGTTTACCATCCCATACGAAGAATTTAAGTATAAATATGCATAATATATTATTCAGGGTGGGCGCCTTGATTGATATGAGTCATTTTGTCCGTCGCAGCCAGACTCGTACCCAGTCGCTATTTAAGTGTTTTTTGGGGGTGAGAGAAGATTGGGGATTAGGTTGAGGCGCGCGCGAGGTCTCCCTCCCTTCCCATAAGACCCCCCGCGCGCCTCAACCTAATCCCCAATCTTCTCTCACCCCAAAAAAACACTTAAACAGCGACTGAGTACGAGTCTGCGTCGCAGCATCTGATACTAAAGCTGAGCCTGTGGTCAAATAACCGGTCAACTGGCATGCAACGGAGGCAAACGAGGCTAATGGGTTACTTGTTTTAAATACGAAGCAAAATTGCCTTGTGCCATAACCCCATGTCAAAACCGCTGATAACTGTAACATGAGTGTCTTGGTTTTGCATTCCTGAGCCCTTTGAGATTGGTTTAAAAATAAAACTTCTTCGGGACACTTCCTCAATCAGAAGCAAAAACAAACTAATCATGACATGACCGCACTTGGTTTCCCGCGTAACTACGTGATACACAAGCTGCTGCGGCATAAGGGCTACGATTCAAATAACGCCAGTTTTCCTTGGACTAATGATAAAGGAAAGGAAAGTAAGGAACACTTAAAAATGAATAATGCCCAAAACATGCACTAAAAAAATCATAACTAACAGTTTTCACGTTTATAGCCTGAGATGAATTTCACAAGATTTCACCAAAATATCCCTTTGGAAACAAAACAAGTTACAGCTTGTGTAGTTTTAGTAACCCTGAAGTTCCACGAGTGACTAACGTCAAATTTCTCCTAAGAAAAGCTATTCATCGTCAAGAGAAAACGTTATGAGAATTAACAAAGTAGTCACCAAAGGAAAAATGCCTTCATCAGTTTATCAAATTTTCTCAACTAATTCATTAAGAAATGTATAACGTAAATACACAATTCACTCTTCGAACTGCTAGGTATTTATGAATTAATAAACTTCAAACTTTCAAACTTTCAAACTTTAAACTATGGAGAATTTGAAAGTGGATATTGGGGCTTAAGAGGTAAATAAGCATATAGACAAATTATAGAATCAAAAGTGAATCAAAAGAGACAATTGGACAATCGTACGATGACGTCATTTTACTACGACTACCAGAATCCTTCAGTTTGTTGTTTTCTTGTGGACTTTAGGGCTATTGGTGTTTAAACCCCAGCGGGATTGACAAATTAAAATAAGAAAGAAAAAATTATATGAATTGTGGTAGTTGTAGCCAATTGTCGTCATCGTGAAAATTGCCTATTATGGGATGCTCACCCGATAGAATGTTGTCATTCGCTGTCCATAGTCATCTCCGATGCTTTGCCGTTCAAAATGCGTTATTGTATCCTTGATATTCGGGGTCCCCTCAAATTCTGACGAGGAAGTCAAATTAAAAACGTAGCTTCCCGTAATTGATTGCCAAATCTCTCTTGTAACACCGTGACTGAGACCTAGTTAGAACGTTGGTACAAAAAAATTCATAACAATGGCTACCATATCGTGTTAATTGACTTCCCTTGTAGTCGAGAGGAAACACAATTATGTAAAAAAATGACAGTGTGTGAAACCCTGTTAATTCACAAACTTATGCACTATAATCAGAGAGAGTTAATGATAATAGCTCGATCAAGTTTGAATCCATCCAATCCTCTGGGCCAACTCAGAGGCGTTTCAACTCTAAACACAAACTTCATACACAAGTTGCTGCAGAGTTGATTAGAATTTTATGTGTTTGAATGCTTGTGGAGGGCAGGTGATTGTACTCCAGCGCATATAACAATCACGAATGCCAATTTTACTGCATATACATGGTGAATTACAAGAATAAAAAGGAACTTAAGCTCGCAATTTAACGACTGAGTATATTTTTGTGTAGCTATCGAGGCACGGAAGTAATTTTCTAAGGTAATTACGACTGTTTTCATCTTACCTTGAGCACAATTGATGTCTTTTCGCTATTTAGAAAGAAAACTATATATAAATATGTAAGAACATAAAACGTTCTGCTTAACCCTTAGAAAAACTGACAAGAGAAATCATTTGCAGAAATTCTGAAAGTCAGTTCTTACCTGTGAAAGAATAAAGGTAAAAAACCACAGCACGCACGCTAAGTTCTCACAAGACGACATTTCCAGTTCAGCCGTGTCAGTTTTTGCACATTGGCAGCTAGTGGCGATAGAACGAAAATCGCGATATATGGAGTTAATCTCTATTTTCTAAGAAAATAAGTACTAGCGGATCTCAGAGAATCTCATTACCGGAACTAGAAAAAAATTCGAGAAGCTTTCGCTTTTATTTCATTCAAACAAGTCGGAAAGTTAATTGATATTTCATAACCCAGGGTTAAAACAGACGGTTAAAACAGACGCTAATGTAGCCAGTTTTTTCCTGTAAAAAATAAATCGCCTACTTCGCAATAAAAGAAAAATCATTTGAAAGCCAATGATACCACAGAAGAAAGCTCTGTACCAAAAACGCTTTTAACGGATACAGAACGGTGGGAATTTTGTTATAATTAAACAATGAGCCACATCTGTTAGGAGATAATTGCGAAGTGCTTTCCTTTGGTATTGACTCGGCTAATGGGTTTGGTCTCATTACTGAACTCGCAAAATGGATTTAAGAGCTAGATGTGAGAATTTCTAACTCAGAAAAAGCTCTATTGTTTTTTTAATTGTGTATCAAATAATCTAATACTTTCTAACAGTCGTATCATAAAAAAACTCGAGTTTAATATTCTCTGCTTTTAAACAAACGGGACCCACTTACTTTTTTTCTGAGTTTATTTCAAGCCTTTGTAACGAAGCGGCTCTAAATTTTAATATCGTCACGAATAACAGTTTTAATTTACATGAACAGAAGTTTAATAAAGAGAATACAGTATTGTGACAGTTTGGCGCCGAACAAAGAATATCTTGCAGGGATTAAAGTAATCAGTGATGACGTCATAGCCAATCGCCGTGCAACATGGGACGATTATTCAATAATAACGTAGTTATTGGAAACTGAAACGATTTTTTAATTTGATGTCTTTTTTCTCAACACTTAATTTCCAGTTCTCGTAAAAAGAAAATCGTTGTGAAATATAAACCTGACAAGAGACAAACTCACTTTCAATTTCGAGAATGAGTTCATTTCTCGCCTTTCTCTTTTGACCAAAGCAAATAAATCATTTGCAAGTAATCTATTAAATATGGTAGTACTTTTCGATCTGTTTGATTCTTTTATTATTGGTCGGGATTCTTGGTACATGCTTTATCTTACTTTTATTATTTTCTGTTTAGTTCTGACAACTTATTTTCAGATGTCAGACAGTAGCGTTAACCTAGCTCGTGGAAGGTAATAGTTATAAACAGCACATTTTCGTTTATAATCGAGAACGAGGTTTTTAGTGTTGCCTCTACACTCGAGTTGTTCATCAACTAGACTTTCCGGCCAGAATAAATTAGCTGAGAAAAAGATGAAGGAAAGAGTAGCTAATTAAAGCTAAACCCTCGAAAAGTAAACCAGACCATCGACTCAGTACAGACAACACATAGGAGAACGTTATTAAAGGCGGCTTAATTTCGCAGGTCGACGTCGCCTTCTCAAAGATGACATATTCTGGCTTCCGTATATAATATAGCCGGTATAGTGATATCAGCAACTCTTAAGATTGGAGTTATAATGACACTTTATATAGAATCACTCTGTAGTCGAATGTCATAGCAACCGTGGCCAACTAGTTTCTACAATAAGATCTCAAACACGTTAGGCTTTTGCGGTAAGACTGAAACCAACCACGGTTTTCCGACGTAGTCAGAGTCAGCAAAGTTAGTTATTAAAGATTAAACAAAGATAATGGACAGCCAAAAAATCGAAAAATCTCCGACTCTTCTTGCATGTCTTTTCGAGAAGTGAAGTGAAGTCTGGCAATGATTAGACTACTCCGAGCAAGAGAATAGTGACACCCTGTTCTTTTGGCATGTTCAGTCATTTGATCGTTCAGAACGTCAACAACCGTCAGAAAAACAGTACTTTCCTTACAATGAAACATTAAATTTCTGTAGTTCTTGCGTTGAACATATATATGTCGTCTTCACTGTGAGTGTGAAAACTTAGTGAGTTATATAAAAGCCTGCTGTCAGTTGAATTTGCTCTTTTTGACATGTTTCAATTCGAACTCGACCCAGTTCTCTCTCCTTCCAGAGGCTCTCATCAGCATCGCTTGCCCCTTCCCAACATTCCCCGCGCTCTTTATTTCCCCTTCTCCTGTCTCTGGTGAGTTGCAAAAAAGAAGCTTCTGCTGTAGTCCAAAAAAAGGTTAAAGAGCTGACAAAGGAGACATATTTTGGCAGGTTGAGGATGGAGGTGAGTTGTCAAGTATTTGGATCCTTTTGCTACACGTCATGGCTTCCTGACGGACGTTTTGTCATTCCTTGTAATAGCCTGCGAGCAAGCTCTACTATTTGGGCAAGCGAAGTGAGCCTCGCGAGAACGCGCGAGCGAGGGGGCGAGGCCCCAGCCCCTCGTGGCTTCGCCGCTCGCTCGCACGTTCTCGCGAGGCTCGCTTCACTTGCCCATGTAGGAGAGCTTGCTCGCAGGCTATCCTTGTCCACGCGAGTCCTCTAAAGGTTTTAAAAACATCCAACTGTACTTTCGGTACTTATGGCTTCCGTTCAGACGTGAAAGATATTCTCCATTTACGAACTAATCCATTCTGGGGACTGTTTTAAGCTCTAGACGCTTAAATATATCGCTCAAGCGTAAATAAAGAGTTCACTGCTCTTATCAGTGATGTTAAGCAAGCTGTTTTATTTAAGATCACTCTTGGTTATATTAACCGCGAGTTTGCAATCTCCCTTAAAAACTAAACTTAACTGTGTAACCATATTACTCAATTAGAATTCTTTAAATAAAAAAATATAAATATGTACTTCAAGATATCAGCAATTTCACAAAATCACAATATTTTTTGCAGCGGTTATGTTCAACTCCATGATATGTTTGTTGTTCCTAACTACACCTTACCCCACCCTAGAAAAGTTATTCGAAGATTTTTCGAGGGTGGTGTTAGAGAGTTATCGTATTTATTCGAATAAACGCTGCGGCATATATTAAATTTTTTTGGCATTTTCAATGGGGAAACGCTTTAAGGGCTGTGTTTATTTTAGGATGGCCCTGATTTCCAAATCATATTTCGTAAATCACTGACACTTATTTGTAAATATTATCCTGAAAATAGAATGATGCTTAAAGTTCAACGCAATGCACTCTTTTTACGGGGAGATAGAATCGTAAGTGTCTGGACGGTGTAAATTAATGCTTAGTATCGATAGTTGCCGAAATTCTTCTGAGTGCTCTTGGTGCGGCGTTTATTTGTGGGCGGTGCTGTCTATTAGTAATTTTCCTTCCCCCGGCGGCGGCGTTTATTCGAGGGAGGTGTTTAATCGAATAAATACAGCAACTGCTTTTTCCTCAGCCCTTGTCGATTAGATCTCTTAGCCCCTGTGGGATGCGTTTGTTTTCCCATAAATAGTTTCTTTTGAAAAAAAAGTCATTTTCAGTTCCAGTCTGGTTTTTTCTGTTGCATTTCCTTCGTGGAGATTAAAAAGGGAAAGTTAAAAATCTTCATTCTTGAATCTGTCAAAGTTTGATGACAAGAAATTGAGTAGCAGTTTGTCCATGTAACGTTTTGGTGGCTCTTTTTATTTGGCCGTTTCTCTTGATACC